CAAAGAAAAAAAACATCTGTCTGAATGAACCGAAACTCCACAAGCGCAAAACGGGGTGTGATGGGATACGGTGTTTTCATAGCTTTGGGAAGCCTCGCTGCTGTTCAGCGTGCAGTGAGTCTCCACGTAAGCCTGACCCGGGGGCCACTGCCACAGTTGAAATAATGAATGTGTCCATCTCCTCATGCCCCGGGAGGACCCGTCCAGGAAGCCTCACAGGAGTGGGCCAGGCCGTGTGTGCAGCTGGGGGTGGCGTGGCCTGGGCTCTCTCTCTCACACACCGTCAGGACTCTGCACTTCACATTGTGTGTGTTGCTGATGCAGTCCTTTTTCTCCTGGGTAGTGACCACCGCGTCCATAACACACTCGCCTGTTGATGGGGTGACATCTGTGGATTCTCTTGGATTTTATGTATTTTCAGGGATGGCAGCTTTATTTCTTCCTTTCCGATTCTTGCACACTTTGTCTCCCTCTTGCCCCGCCCAGAGCCCCAGGGTGGAGGTGACCACAGTGATGTCACAGGACCTGCTGGGGAAAAGATTGCACCATCACATGTGACCTTGGCTGTGAGTTCTTGCAGGTATCTTGTATCCAGTTTAGATGTCTTCCGAGTGCAGTTTGATTTGAGATTTTATCATACACTTTACGTGACTGGAATCTCGTGATATTTTGTATGGAATATTTGTAGCAATGTCTGTGGGAGAGATGGTCCCGTGGCAGTCCCTTCTTGCAATGCCCTTGTCAGGGGAGTGAAGATGCCGGGGGCTTCACCGAGCTGGGAGGGGCCGGAACTGTGATGGATCAGGGCTGGGAGGGGGTCACTTGCTCTGAGGTGTGGGAGCTGTGAGGACTGTTAGCTGTGAGGGGTAGTAGCTGTGAGGAGTGGTAGCTGTGAGGGGTCACTTGCTGTGACAGCTGGTAGCTATAAGGGGTCACTCCCTGTGAGGGGTCACCCGCTGTGAGAGGTGGGAGCTGTGAGGGGTGGTAGCTGTGAGGGATCAAATCTGTGAAGGGTCACTGCTGGGAGGGGCTGGAGCTGGGAAGGGTCAGAGGTGGGAGGGGTCACTCACCACCCGTGAGGGATGGGAGTTGGGAGGGGTCACTGCTGGGAGGGGTCACTGCTGGGAGTGGCTGGAGCTGGGAGGGCCTGGAGCTTGGAGGGCTCACTTGCTATGAGCAGTGGGAGTGTGAGGGGTGAAAGCTGTGAGGGGTCAGAGCTGAAGCTGTGAGGCCAGAACCACAAGAGGCCAGAGCTGTGATAAATGTCAGAATCGCCAGGGGTCATTGTCTTTTCTACACTCTGGAAAAGGGTATGTAAGACGTGTTGGTTTTTTCTTTTCTTTTGAGATGGAGTCTCACTCTGTTGCCCAGGCTGGAGTGCAAAGCCACGATCTCAGCTCACTGCAATCTACACCTCCTGGGTTGAAGCAATTCTCCTGCCTCAGCCTCCCGAGTAGCTGGGGTTACAAGCACACACCAGCATACCTGGCCAATTTTTAAAATATTTTTAGTAAAGATGGGGTTTTACCATGTTGGCCAAGCTGGTCTTGAACTCCTGACCTCAGCTGATTTGCCCACCTTGGCCTCTCCAGACTTTTTCTTAAAATGTTTAATAAAAGTCACAGTGAACCTATCTAAGCCTTAAGTTGTTTCATGGGATTATTTTTAACTAGACTCATTTTTTAAAGCAGATACAGGAGTATTGTGATTTTCTGTATCTTTGTGTGTCCATTGGATAAATTGTGCTTTTCTCAGGAATCTATGTCTAACAGATTTGCATGGCGTCGTGTCCAGTGTCCTTTTATTACCTTTTAACATCAACAAGACGTGTCGGCACTTCGGTGCTCCCTGTGCTGGTTTTTCAAGCTTCCTCTCTTCTCTTCATAAACTAGACTTGAAAATTAGAAAAATACAGTGGGGAAAAAAGGCAGCCTGTACTTAGAGCACCTGAGGAGCAACCACAGGGAGCTTCCTGAGAAATGGATGTACAGTCTTTTCTTTAATGTATATTAAGTTTTCCTTTGAAAAGCATGTGCGCACACATTTATGTGGAAAAAATATGATAAACTTGCCATTTTATGGCCTTTTTGCCTCCTTCACCTTTTAAAATGACTGTTTTATAGTCTTATAAAAATAGATCAATAGCGTAATGATCTCAACAGCACAACTATTTGTTTATATTGTAGCCTTAGGAGGGGAGGCAGACCCTGCATACGACGCTGGTGATGAGCTGCTGACTGCACGAGCTGGGGCACTGGGAGAGCTGGGGCACTGGGAGAGCTGGGGCACTGGGAGAGCCCGCACTGGGAGAGCTGGGGCACTGGGAGAGTTGGGGCACTGGGAGAGCTGGCACTGGGAGAGCTGGGGCACTGGGAGAGCTGGCACTGGGAGAGCTGGGGCACTGGGAGAGCTGGCGCACTGGGAGAGCTGGCACTGGGAGAGCTGGGGCACTGGGAGAGCCGGCACTGGGAGAGCTGGGGCACTGGGAGAGCTGGGGCACTGGGAGAGCTGGGGCACTGGGAGAGCTGGCACTAGGAGAGCTGGGGCACTGGGAGAGCTGGTGCTGGGAGAGCTGGGGCACTGGGAGAGCTGGGGCACTGGGAGAGCTGGGGCACTGGGACAACTGGCACTGGGAGAGCTGGGACACCGGGAGAGCCGGCACTGGGAGAGCTGGGGCACTGGGAGAGCTGGGGCACTGGAAGGCCTGGAGCATGAGGAGCACCCATGCAGTGTTCTTGCTGGTGATGAGGGTCATCCTGTGACCCGTGGCATCCCAGAGGGTCTTCCTGCGGGTGGTGAGGCACTCTGTGTGTTACTTACCTCCGATAATGAAGGCAAGCATTTTTCTTAGTAGACGTCTATGAGGAGAAGCTTAATTTCTTTTTTTTTTTTTAACTGAACGTGGGAAATTAAAATGGATTACCTGGCCATGGTTGGTTTTGAACATCAGTGTTTTCAGGGCGGATATAGGGGCTGCTATCAGAGTCTGGACCAGGCTGGTTGCACAGACCTGCACAGTGGACCCCAGTGGCAACAAATACTCGCAGATGAAATTATTCAAAGGCCCACTGGTCATTGAGGAGTGACATGAAGATGCTGAGGAGACTCAGCCTGGGCGGCCTTCGCATCACGGCTGTGCACGGAGCTGCTTCTGCCTGTGTTGCGCTGTGGTGGCAGAGGCTGTGCAGAGCGGATGCCAAGCACATCAAGAGGGGGTGGGAACTCTCTTCCACAAAGTGGCCGCGGCGGCATCTCAGAGTTCACAGCGGCATTCGATTTGACGGTGAGCAGAGCGGGGAGGGGGTGTCCACATCAGATGGGAGGCCGCTGCTTGGTAAACACTTCCTGTATTTTCAGGGTGAGGGAAACCGATGCGATCACCTAATCGAGTCGTGGGGTGGGACTGCGTCACAGCTTGCGGTGTCCGCAGCTGGGCAAGAGCCCGGAGCTGGGACTGCCTCACAGCTGGCGGTGGGAAAGAGCCTGGAGTTTGTCTTCTGCAGGTTCCTGTCCAGCACTCACGGGCCCTGGGCATTGAGGGCAGTTGAGGAGACAGAGGGGAGTAGGAAGCCGCTTTGAAGAGCTGCAGTGTGGAAGATGAACTGAAGAATTATATGTAATTTCAGAAGTGAAGTGGAAAACCTGCGTTTACACTCACGTTGTTCAATCTCGATTCCTCACAGTCTGATGGGGTACACAGCTCAGAAAAGTCAAACAGGCACTTCCTAAAAATGAGAACTGTCTGAACCCGGACCCTTGGCGTGGTACAGCAGCAAGCTCTGTAGTTCCAGATCTGCTCGGTCAGGGCCTGGGAGCCATGTGCTGGCCATGACATAGATGCCTGTGGTGTGGACCTGACCCATCAGTGTCTGGGCGTGGCTTGGGTGTGGGGCAGGGCGCGTTTGTGCCTCGTGCTGTCTGTTCTCGGTGTACGTGTGTCCTCGTGTGCTGTTTGCATCCTCTGTTCCCCCTGCCTGGTGCCAGTTACTCCTCCGAGACCTTCCTGTCAGGGAACAGCAGCGCGTGCACTGCGCCTGTCCTCACTGAGGGGTTTATTCACAGTGCTTCCTGCCCACCCTCTTCCCAGCTGCCTGTTTCAGCCCATGAGAATTGACTGAACCTCTTCTCTTCTGCAGCTCCACAGGGGTAGTTTGAAATTGGCCGTGGGAGAAGTATTTACACCAGGGAAAGTAGCAGAGGGGATGGCTCAGGGCTTTTCAGAGAGCTGGTTGTCAGCCCTTTGCCAGCGCACCACCATCCTATGCTGTCTGTAAGCCAACTTCTGCCAACCTGGAGTCCAGCTGAGCCTTCGTGTCAAAATGCAACCTGTTGCCAAGCCATCATTACGTAATTTTTATTCTCATGCGCACGTAACTTTAAAAGGGACTAAACTGTTCAAAAGACCAGGCACAGTGACTCACGCCTGTAATCCCAGCACTTTGGGAGGCTGAGGCAGGTGCATCACTTGAGGTTAGGAGTTCGAAACCAGCTTGATCAACATGGTGAAACCCCGTCTCTACTGAAAATACAAAAATTAGCTGCGTATGGTGGCGCATGCCTGTAGTCCCAGCTTCTCGGGAGCCTGAGGCACGCAAATCACTCGAACCTGGGAGGCAGAGTTTGCAGTGAGCCAAGATTGTGCCACTATACTCCAGCCTGGGAGACAGAGTGAGACTCTGTCTCAGGGAAAAAAGAGAGAAGCAATAACTTGTACATCCTTCAAAACACCATATATGATGATTGTAGCATCTGTGAGTGGATACACATCTAAACGAGCCTTTTATGGAAAATAAAGTAGGTTGCTAATTTATATGATTGTTAGCCCTAGGAACGTTGGTGGCGTCATTACTGTGAGGTCAAGCTGAGAATCACCGAAGTAAATAGTGTAAACTCTTTTTCTACTAAAACTGCAAGATCCTGATGGAAATGTATTTAGTTTACTACGTTTCTTATGGTTTTGTTGTACTGAAAATTGTTGTATTTGAATTTTTTTTTTGCAGATCAGGATGCTCATGACCAACCAAAGAGAAGAAGAATTAGGAAGCATAAATCAAGAAAAAAATTTAAAAATCCCAGTCATGTTCTCGTAGAACAGGCAGAATCGGAGAAACAGCAGCATCTTTTACAGGACAAGTCTCAGCGACAGTACACGGATGGCCCCACGATAAGCAAAAATAAAAAAAGGAAACTGAAAAAGAAACAGCAAATTAAAAGGAAGAAAGCAGCCGGCTTGGTAACAAAGGCTGCTGGTATCAGTTTCATGTATCAGCCAGAGGAGAGCGGCAGTGAAGGGGCAGACGTGGGAGCGGCCAGTGAGGAGGGAGGCGCAGACGCCAACGAGGAAGACCTGACACTGGCCAGGGAGGAGGCGGGTGCAGACACTGGGGAGGAGGAGGATGGTGCAGAGGACAGTGAGGAAGCCCCGGCACCAGCTGGGGAGGAAGACATTCAAGACACCGAGGAGGATGATGGTGTCGATGCCAATGAGGAAGATGATGAAATTACCAACGAGAAGGCAGATAGCGTTCTAAATTTTTTGAAGTCAACACAAAAGTATTTCTATGATGGTATGTTTGTTACTGGTTTTCTCTTGCATAGTGACATCCACTTCAAAGTTTGTTAAAAGAAGCAAATATGCTTAAATGTCAAAACACACGTTAAAAATATTGCATGTAAATAATTAGTTCTAAGGCAAAGATGAGAAGATGTATATGCCTTCCACCAGCGACGTGGTTGGCATATCACACGATGTGTCCCGGCATATCCGGAGAAGCGGTGCAGCTGTAACAGGCTGTGGCATCAAGGGCGGCTGGCCCTGTGTTCTCCATGCCTGTAAGTTCAGGTTTGGGAGTGTGTTGGCATCCAGGCTATCTTTCTAAACAAAAGTAAATCCAGATTGGAGGTTCTGATGAGCTGAGCTGACCGAGCGCTGAAGGAAACACAGCTTCTGTCTTTAGGACAGATTTCACTCTCCCTTCCACACAGAACTGAGGTGCGATTTCTCAGCAGGCGTCTTTGTGCAGTTGTTTGGATTGACATAAGATTTGGGTAATAAATGTAGGTGTCATGTCATGGATGGCACTTGCTTGCTTTTTCACCACACTTTGCTGACAGCTGACCCAGTGACGCGTGGCTGCCCCAGAACAGAGGTGCTCCCCGTGGACTCTTCCTGGCTTTTTTCTCTTTAATTCTTTTTGTACTTTTTAATTTTTGTGGGTATAGGTGTCTTTTGGATGACGTTACCAGCAGGTTCAGGTTAATGTGGTGGGTTTAGGAGATCCAGATTTAAGCACAGCATTTGATGATGCTTCTGTGAGCAAGACTGAGAAATATTAGCTACATAATAATTTGGGACGTAATTATTGTTAGCACCATTGTTAATAGGGTGATTTAAACACCGAGAGTACTCTAGCCTCTTCCTCTTTAGCGTGTTTCTCAGCAGATCGTATTGACAAATTGAAAACAAATATCCAAATGGCACCTCAGGAACACGTGGCTAAGACACTGCTCAGAGGTCGGAGCCAGGCCGGGGGGCTCAGAGGTCAGAGATGGGCCGAGGGCTTAGAAGTCAGAGCTGGGCTGGTGGGCTCAGGAAGCTCACAGGTCAGAGCCGGGGCTGGTGGGTACAGAGGTCAGAGAACTGAACCCAACACTACATGGCTTGCCTTAGAGCCTTTGCCCAGTTCTGAAGCTGTGGATGGAAGATGAGAAGCCACACAGAAGCCTCAGAATAACAGGGGACTCTTGGCCATCTTGAGGTGCTGATTAGATGACAATCGGCCTGACCCTCGAGCCCCTCAGAGTAGGGCAGCCCAGAGGCAGATGAGTGTGTCCCAAATGTGTGGCCATCCTGGAGTCAGCTCAGTCCCCGCGTGGTCCAGGGAACCCACCCTTCCTCTGTCTGCCTGGCAGAGCAAAGGGTGCGTCCTCTAAAGTATTGTCATCCTGGGTATCCGCAGTCTTTCCTCGAATTCAGTAACAATTTACAGGCATGCCACGAGACAGGACCACAGCACCAAAAACCATTAGACACACGAGAGTCAGAGTGGGAGAGACTGGTGTTAGCAGACAGGGAGCTTAAGATAAGGGGAAAAAAGAGGAAAAACTGGAGCATTTCACAGGTAATTTGAATTTATTTAGATAATCAAATGGAAATGTTAGGCCTGAGAAATATCGTAACTAAAATTCAGGCCTCAAAAGACAGGTAAACAGCAAATTAGAGTTGGCATAAAAGAGAATTAGTGACTGGGAAGACAGGTCAAAGAAAGTCTCTAGAAGGCAGGGTGGAGAGAAGAGGATGGAAAACACGGGAAAGAGCCCAGCAGACACGCAGCAAGTGGTCCAGCATCCCTGAAACAGGCCCAGGTGGAGAGGGGAGAGGACAGTGGGAGTTTTACACAATGGTTAAGGGACACAGTCAACATGGAAGACATCCTGCCAACTCCAAGCAGGGTTAATGCCAGAACCACCACAGGTGAGTACATTGCAGTCAAACTGCCAAGCAGCAGCCAGAGACACAGGACCGGCCGCAGGGCAGAGGCTGCCCTTTCGATGGAAGCAGTGGCCGTCGGAGGCTTGTTTCCATTTTCCTTGGTATCTTCTAAACAGGCACAGTCTGGTTCTCTTTTTAAGCTATGTGACATGGACATGGAGAGCCTGAGGTCGTTGCCTGGTTAGTCCTGCGGCTGTTCATGACGTTGAATCGAGTGTGGGACAGGGAAGGCGTCTCACCAGACAGACATGTAGCCGGGCGGGTTTCCAGTCGTTCCCGCAGTGCTGGTTAGTCCTCGGTGACTTTTCAGAGCTCTGTTCTGATTCTCTCTTCCGATAGCTTCGTACCTCCCAGACACTTCATTCTATGTGGAAGTGTAGATTTCAGGCTTCCTTGAGAGAGTAAAGCTTATCTTTAGTTTACAGAAATAAAAGCAAAACTCTGCTTCCCAGCAAAACTGACTTTATGTAGGTGTCTCCAGAGATGCAGCTTCGGCCGTCCCTGCGTGTGCCGCCGAGGAGCTGCTGGGGCATCTTGCCTCACACACCATGCCGCCCTCAGACGTGTCCATCCTGTACCACATGAAAACGCTGCTGCTTCTGCGTGATACGGAGAGCCTGAAGCATGCCCTGGCAGTGTTCCCAGAACATTGCTCGATGCCTCCTGGTGAGTACCGTACGATTTACCCAAAGTCCTGCTCAAGAAACTCTCACCAAGTCTTACCTCTAAAAGACTCACCCACCAGCAAAACAGCAACGAGTTGGAAAATATGACGCCACACATGTGGCGCAGAAGGATAGAGTCCCACAGAGAAACAGGCTTCCCGCATCGCTGCTTGATATAAAAATACTCACGTAACACCCGCAGAAATGCATGTAAAGTCTAATTTTCCAGACCTGGGGGCTGTCAGCTCTTAGACCAAGTTTTCCCAAGTTTCAGTAGATCCCTCTTTTCCTTCTCCTCTGCTGTGGCAGGTGGTGAATTGTGCTGTCCTCCAGCCGTCTTGCACCACACCACACTCCTGGGGTGGCGGTGATGACTTTTACTGTCCACAGCCTTCACTGGGCGTCCTCTTCGTGCAAACTGTTGTGTGCTGGAGCGGCCAAGCTCCTGTCTTCCCAGTGCCGTGTGCAGTGACACGAGCTGTGGTGAGGGTACTCAGGCCACAGAAACCTGCAGATGCGGAAAACGAGAAATCCATGCTGTTTTCTGAGAGCCGTTCGCCTGCACACCACTGAGTGCAGCAAAGCACACCTGGCCAGGGCCGGCGCCTGGACCCGTCCGAGAGACAGAGTGACGGAGACCGGCAGATTTCGTGGAAGGAGTTTCAAAGTCAGTGTCAGGCACTGTTCCTGCCCTTAGAAACCCACAGGGTTGCTGAGGGGTCAGGACCAGCATACTAGAAATGCCGTTCGCGAACAGAGTTATGTAATCCTGGTGTGATTATGCCGTGGCACGGCGCAGGGAGCAGGGGACCGCTGGGACCGTGACACGGAAGCAGGGCCCAGGGGCGACTGCCGAGGAGGGAGGAGGAGCCCCGCTCGAAGGTGGCCGTGCTCCTTGAGGAAGCGCCTGTGTGTGAGGGAGGGGTGGGCCGCGGACATTCTCTCTTTGTTCCTGGTTCCTTGTCAGGCCCCTTACAGCAAGTACTTAACAAACACAGATTTCCACAATAAGGTTTGTCTCAAGCTGCCAAAGCCAACCTTATTAAACTGATAGGAGGTCTTTATGAGACATGAAAGGAAGCCATTTTAAATTTTAAAATTTTGTTCTGTTTCTCACACTTGAGGCTTTTCTGAAATTCACCAGAAGAGTTTTGGCAGTTGTGGGAATTTAGCGGAACCCTCAATAAAATAACTCGTTTCTTATATTCAAATCATCAGGCAGGTTTGTGCACCTCACATTGTGTGGAGCCACTGAGAGAACTAAACTGTGCATGTAGCCTGTTTTCTATAAGAAAGGGTTCCTTTGCTTAAAGTTTTCTATGTCAAGCTATTTTATGAAATAGATTTTATAAACAATGAAGCTTCATTTTCACACACTGTATTTGTTGAATGCAGACTTGGCCTGTACGAGTCTTGAAGTTAAGGGCCTTTTTCGTAAAACTAGCTTAGGGGTTTAATGAGTCACTGTGTCTCTCACCTCTGCGGGATGAGCAGAGGCCTTCATGTTTCAAAAGCAGCTTCGGCTGTTTCCTGATGGTTGCGTGTCCTCTCCCTGCCCTCTGGTGCGGCAGTTGCTTTTCCTCAATCGTTGGGGCTGCATTCAGCTGGGATGCCAGCACTGGGGCAGAGCTCTCACACGTACGTGAGGTTTTATACACATTCCTCATCGGTGGTAGCTCACACTTATGTGAGGTTTTATTATACACACTCCTTATTGGTGGTAACTCACACGTATGTGAGGTTTTATTACACACTCCTCATCGGTGGTAGCTCACACGTACGTGAGGTTTTATTACACACTCCTCATCGGTGGTAGCTCACATGTACGTGAGGTTTTATTATACACACTCCTCATCGGTGGTAGCTCACACGTACGTGAGGTTTTATTACACACTCCTCATCGGTGGTAGCTCACACGTACGTGAGGTTTTATTATACACACTCCTTATTGGTGGTAACTCACACGTATGTGAGGTTTTATTATACACACTCCTTATTGGTGGTAACTCACACGTATGTGAGGTTTTATTATACACACTCCTTATTGGTGGTAACTCACACGTATGTGAGGTTTTATTATACACACTCCTTATTGGTGGTAACTCACACGTATGTGAGGTTTTATTATACACACTCCTTATTGGTGGTAACTCACACGTACGTGAGGTTTTATTACACACTCCTCATCGGTGGTAGCTCACACGTACGTGAGGTTTTATTATACACACTCCTTATTGGTGGTAGCTCACACGTACGTGAGGTTTTATTATACACACTCCTTATTGGTGGTAGCTCACACGTACGTGAGGTTTTATTATACACACTCCTTATTGGTGGTAGCTCACACGTACGTGAGGTTTTATTATACACACTCCTTATTGGTGGTAGCTCACACGTACGTGAGGTTTTATTATACACACTCCTCATCGGTGGTAGCTCACACGTACGTGAGGTTTTATTATACACACTCCTCATCGGTGGTAGCTCACACGTACGTGAGGTTTTATTACACACTCCTCATCGGTGGTAGCTCACACGTACGTGAGGTTTTATTATACACACTCCTCATTGGTGGTAGCTCATGCGTATGTGACGTTTTATTACACATTTCATTGGTGGTAGCTTGCGTACGTGACGTTTTAATGCACACATTCTTCAGTGGTAGCTCATGCATACCTGACATTTTATTAGACACGCTCCTCATCAGTGGTAGCCTCCACTCCTTGAGTGTTTCTCACACGCACACTGTGAAGTGGGGTTTTCTGAATGTCATCCTCCTCTAACCCTCTGCGTGGTAATCATTCAGAGCTCAGGCAACTTGCCCTGGGCGGGATGGAGCCAGCCTGGGGGAAGCGTGGATGGGGCTTCCGTGGCCTGTCCTTGGCTTTCTGTGGTTGGAAACTTTAGAGCAGTAGATTCCAGGTGCAGCGATCAGGGCCCTGACAAGTGATAAAACTTGGGGCGAGTCTTCACTGGCAGCCAGTGTCCACCCGTGAGGCCCCGAGGGTTGGTGGTGACGTCACGACTGCTTCTGGCCTCATGGCCAGGGCGCCACACAGCCTGTGGTGTCTTACTGACAGTTCCTCTTCTGGCTTTTTTCTAGCTGTTCCCCCTTGACATAAACATCTATGTCCTTTGCATTTCAATTTGTACGTGATTTTCTTTCAGGTCTGACTCTAAGCCTGTAACACTGCACTGTGATGTTTTGAAGTTCAAGTGTAATAGGACCAGTGAACCAAGGGTTCATACCCAAGTGGAACGCACACATTCAGAACTGGGCGGCTGTTTTGCCATGCCAGTGATACAGTGTGTGCTTAACAGTGTAACATGTCACGGTTGCATCAGTTCTACGCCGGAGCTGCGTTTCATTAGATCATTTCAGAGTTCACTTTGGGCCCAGAGGCTCGTGTCTATGTAACTTACGATTTTTTTGGTCTTTGCTTATTTTTTGTTTTCTTTCTGTTTTTTACTTTCCAGACCATGCCAGAGTAATCTCGGCCTTCTTCAGTTACTGGATCACACATATCCTTCCTGAGAACAGCAGTGAGTGAAATGGAATATCTCTTTAAGAAGAGCTCATCTTTAACAACAAAAAAAACCGTAAAAGACGAATGTGGAATGGGCTGAGAGTGAGTTCTCTGGGGACTTGAAAGATGTTTCTGCCGCATTATTTATTCAAGTGTTTGTTCCTGATGCTTGAGATGTCATCTGAGACTTCAGATGGGAAGCTGGGGTGAAATGGAACTTTTTCACTCATTTCATATTAATATGTCTTGAATTACTACATAAAACTTGATTCCGTTTTTCTAATTATTGTAAAAGTTGGAAATGGACATTCTGTTAAGTTAAACTATATAGTTTGAAGCTCATACACTTTTATAAGTTTTGAATCACCTTGTATATGAAACTGTTTTAAGAACGTTTTCTGCGTATTAAAAGGTTCTAGTTTAAGTAGTTTGATTATGGTTGAATTTCTTTTTTTCTCTACTCTGTGAATCATATCAAGAACCGATTCTTCCTGTTTTGACTTTCTTTTTGTCATAGAAGCAGTCATCAGTTCTTAGCATTACTAAGTTTGGAAAGCTTCAGTCAATTAGTACAACACTTTAAGAGGGCAATGGCTCTATGAAAAAATCTGTATTATGGCAAAACATACGTGACATACAGCTCCATATAGTCATTTTTAGGTGCATACGTCAAGGCATCATGGACATTTGCTGTGCTGTGTGGGGCCCACCGTGCTGTTCCTGTTTGTGGTGAGAGCATGCCCCTGTGCCTTCCAGGACCCACGTGTGACCTGTCCTGCCTGTGAGCACTGTGTCTCAGATGTTGTGTGGTGCCCGTCTCCCTCCCTGTCCCACTGTGAGTATCTGTGTCTCAGATGCTGTGTGGGTGCCCGTCTCCCTCCCTGTCCCACTGTGAGTGTCCGTGTCCCAGATGCTGTGTGGTGCCCATCTCCCTCCCTGTCCCACTGTATCCGTGTCCCAGATGCTATGTGGTGCCCGTCTCCCTCCCTGTCCCACTGTCAGTATCCATGTCCCAGATGCTATGTGGTGCCCGTCTCCCTCCCTGTCCCACTGTCAGTATCCATGTCCCAGATGCTATGTGGTGCCTGTCTCCCTCCCTGTCGCACTGTGAGTGTCCGTGTCTCCAACGCTGTGTGGGTGCCCATCTCCCTTCCTGTCCTGCCTGCAAACACCATGTCCTAGATGCTATGTGGATGTTCATCTCCTTTCCTCTCAGGAGTGGAACCGCAGGTGATGGTGACATTCTGTGGGGCAGCCAGGTCAGCTGCTGGGCTCCCCATGACCCCCATCCTAGCCACTCCTTACTTTCCTGTCAGGGCCATTCTGATGGGGGAGGCTTCTGCTCAGGGGTGCTGCCTGCTTCTGTCTGTCTTTGGAGAGTGCCTGCCCAAAGCTGATGTTCGGGTGGGGAGCACGGAAGGAGACGAAAGAAGCCCTGGCGTCCCTCCCAGCCCCCATCCTGCCAGTTCCCTCCAGGTCCATGTCCCAGATGCTGTGTGGTGCCCGTCTCTTTCACAAGCGGGAACCTTCTGGAAGCAGGTGAAGCAGGGATGTTTCTGGCCCTGGGGACTGTCCCCTTGAATCTGTTGACTGTGCAGTGTCCCAGGCCTGACATAGGCTGCTGGAGCACAGGATGCAGCATGCTCCAGTCGGGGCTTCCAGGAGGTTACACTCAAAGCAGGAGCCGAAGGCGCCACGGCTCCACCGTCCTTCAGCCTCAGGGGACCTGTGGTCATCTATGTGGAGTCCTGCCCAGCCCCCCAGCTTCCCTTAACTCAGGAGGCATCAGGAGGCATCGGAGTGGCCGGGAGCCCCTCATCCCACAGGAGGAACTCACGCTGCTGCAGCAGCGCCCACGCCGGATTCCTGCCTCCACTGAGAACCCCCATGGCCCCATGGAACCTGGGCATCAGCCCACAAACTTGCAGTTTAAATGCTTCTTAATTAAAAGCATGTGCTTTGCAAATATGAACAAAAATTAAATATTGGCAGACTCTTAATGTTCGTATTCTTAATGTCCAATTTGTGTCTGTTAATTATGGAGCATCTCCACCTTCTCTGGGCTCTGAACGTGAATTCACGTTGCGGGGGGCGGTGGGTGATGTGCAGACCTTTTCCTGGGTTCCACGGAATCCCCGTAGACTCGCTTTGTGCTTCGGTGGTCCTCCATGGTTTTACTTTGTGAAACCTTCTGCATTCATTTTCCAGAGCCTGAGAATAGTGAGAATGGGGTGCACTCGAGCAGGTGGGGTGTTCACGGTTAATTTGTTTTGTGTATCATTCTGACTCCAAAAAGAAAAAGGCATCTTCTACAAAAGCAAATAAATTTTGTCTCTAATACGTCAGCATAGATAAGACAATCTGTTTATTCCACTGTTTGAAGTTGGATAATAATTAGATTAATTTATCTTCTACAATAGTGCAAAATACTCAGTTCACGTAATTTATTTTCTGTAAACCATGTCAATTAAGACAGGCAGAGAAGAAAGCACTAGAGAACATGAGGTTGCTAATATTTAGACAATTGTGCCTAGAAGGAAAAAAAAACACAGAATTTCTGAGCCCGTCCTTACGCTGGGGCCTCCGCCTGCGTCTTTTGTGCCTGGGAAGGGAGGCCTCCCACAAGCCTGTCTCCAGTTTGCTTCCCAGGCAGAACTGCGCCGTGTTGGGAGATGCCAGGCCACACAGGGCCAGTTCTGGGCTTCGCTTCTCTGTGCAGCTCTTGCCCCAGGTGCTCCGCGGGTCACGTGTCCTCACCCTGGAGCTCTTCAGAGAGTCCCAGGAATGGGTTCCACCCGCTCCAGAATAAGCGTGCACGCATCCACCTGCCTCACACCACTGTTGGGTATGGCTTTCAAGGGCTCAGAAATTCCCCAAAACCTAGTCATTAGGGTATTGTGGTGCAGTGAGTCCCCAACCAGGCTCCTTAGGGCATTTGTCCACTGCCTAAACCCTGGAGGCTGAGCAGCGAGCCAAGGCCACAGTTCCCGGCGGAGGAGCAGAAATGCCAAGAACGCTGAGGCAACCCGAGAGCCCCCAGGAGAGCAGTACCATTGCTCATGGTGGCAACAAGGTGGGGAGCCCACGTGGAAGCCGCCTGGAGGCTGCAGATCTTAGCGCTGTCCCCAGGCTGCCCAGGAAGTCATGGAACCTGTGTGGAAGCAGCTGGGGCAGTGCTGCCCAGGCCACCCAGGCAGGGCGTCTCTCCGCCATTCTTTCACCTCTTGCTCCCTCCCAGTTGGGGCCCGGTCAAGGGATGGAGGAAACTGAATCCCGAAATTTCTCTCATAACAAGGATTAATTGTCTTTTCTGCATAATAGATGGCCACAGGCACAGTGGCTTCAAACGACTCCATTGGCCACCTCACAGTGTCTGTGGGTTGGGACGTGGTGTGGCCAGGCTGGGCCCTCCTGTCCCTGTGTGAGGGTGGGTGTCCTGCCGCAGTCCCGGCCCTGGGAGCCAAAAATGGGCCCAGCCAGAGGCCACTTGTGCATGGAGAAGGGCAGCAGCAGCCAGAGCTAAGAATGGCCTCTAGAAAGGGGCTGTGCCAGCCACTATCTCAAACGTGGTCCATGGGGATGGGCTGGGGCCCCTCCTGGATGCCCCTTGGGGGCTGGTGGGCCCAGCCTTGTATTTGGACATTAAAGGCAAATGAACCGCTAGCCAGTCAAGCCACCTCTACCATTCTTCCTCTTCGGGAATGGCTGGGGTCGAAGGCAGTGCTCGCCTTCACATCCCTCTGTCCGTATCTGATTTGTCACAGATCCAACAGTGTCTGTGTTCTTCCTCTGAAAATCCCTGTCATTACTGCAAGGAATTCCTGCACATTACTCAGTCCTTCAGTTTAACTCGGCGTGGCATTTAGATCATTCTAACCTCCACCCTCACTCCTGAGGGAAAGGAGCGCATGTGGCTTTCAGCTGATACACACACAGACGAACTCCATAATGAAGCCCCTATTCGAAATCCAGTGGCCAGTGATGCAGCTCCCCGTAGAGACGCAGACTGGATTCACCAACAGGAAGGCGGTGGCACAGGAGCATCACCATCTTAGACGAGCATCGCCATTTTAAGTTCTCCTTGATTAGAAACTGCCTGAATCCAGCCCCAAAACATCAGCCCAATGACTGTATGACCATAAATTACAAACGACACCTCTGACCAGAGACACGCGAACCCCAAGATAACCTCCGCTCTGACCAGAGACACGCGAACCCCAAGATAACCTCCACTCTGACCAGAGACACGCGAACCCCAAGATAACCTCCGCTCTGACCAGAGACACGCGAACCCCAAGATAACCTCCGCTCTGACCAGAGACACGCGAACCCCAAGATAACCTCCGCTCTGACCAGAGACACGCGAACCCCAAGATAACCTCCGCTCTGACCAGAGACACGCGAACCCCAAGATAACCTCCGCTCTGACCAGAGACACGTGTACCCCAAGATAACCTCCGCTCTGACCAGAGACACGCGAACCCCAAGATAACCTCCGCTCTGACCAGAGACACGCGAACCCCAAGATAACCTCCGCTCTGACCAGAGACACGCGAACCCCAAGATAACCTCCGCTCTGACCAGAGACACGCGAACCCCAAGATAACCTCCGCTCTGACCAGAGACACGCGAACCCCAAGATAACCTCCGCTCTGACCAGAGACACGCGAACCCCAAGATAACCTCCGCTCTGACCAGAGACACGTGAACCCCAAGATAACCTCCGCTCTGACCAGAGACACGCGAACCCCAAGATAACCTCCGCTCTGACCAGAGACACGCGAACCCCAAGATAACCTCCGCTCTGACCAGAGACACGCGAACCCCAAGATAACCTCCGCTCTGACCAGAGACACGCGAACCCCAAGATAACCTCCGCTCTGACCAGAGACACGCGAACCCCAAGATAACCTCCGCTCTGACCAGAGACACGCGAACCCCAAGATAACCTCCGCTCTGACCAGAGACACGCGAACCCCAAGATAACCTCCGCTCTGACCAGAGACACGCGAACCCCAAGATAACCTCCGCTCTGACCAGAGACACGCGAACCCCAAGATAACCCCTCCCCTCTGACCAGAGACATTCCAGTCTCTCAATAAAACTCTCCTCCACGAAGAAACCTTCCCAGCCTGCAATAAGCTCCCCGCAGAACCCTTAAATACCTTTAGTCTGTAAGAGAAAAGGCTCCTGACCAAAGAAGCCAGAAGCCCCTCTTAGGTTTCTTCTCCAAAATAAACCTGTCTTTGACCGTGAGCTCTTCGTGTTTCTTTCTTCTTTCTTTGACTCTTAACAGTGTGTATCACGATTATTGTCATGGTGTCCTATTCCGTGTTGCAACCAACCTTTAAGAAAATAATCTGTTGAGTTTTGCTATTGTATAAAAAAATTCATATTTATTTGACAAAGCTATTAACATACTCC